GCTTGTGCTGTAAGGAAAATGTGCATTCAGTAGATCGGATTGTTGTACCTACTTGCAACAGGAGGAGACCCCATGTGACAAGCTACTTCTCTCATGGACTGCATGGCACCACGGTTGGGAGCTGTAAAACACACACAGATGCGGTACCGCTCATTCAACCTTCTTCCAGCCCAGATCTTTCCACTGCACGAGCGACCCGCGCCAGTGCCGTGCCAGAGACGCTCGATGGACGACATTGCGACCTCACGGCGTGCCTAGCTGTTGTCTGTGTCTCTGTGTGGGCCTATCTGTGTGTCTGTGTATATGTGTCTGGCGGATCCAGGAGATTGAATCTTTACCCTCGGGGCTCCTCCAGAAACAAGAAAAAGCCACTACGGATGGCCATGTGGAATGTTCGAATGCCCACTGCGGAGGAAAGGCTGCCACTCCTCTGTCAGGAGCTGGACCGGTACCGCCTGGATCTCTGTGGCATTCAGGAGGTCCGGTGGACCGGCTCTGGCTCCTGCCACCATGAGGGGTGGACAGTCCTCTACTCGGGGCAATAGACTGCCAAACAACAGGGTGTGGCTCTTCTTCTGAACAAAAGAATGAAGGGGGCGTGGGAGCATGGCGGTGAGGTGTGGGAAGCTGTAAGTCCCAGGCTACTTTGGACTCGCCTTCCCATCAACCGGAGGCGAGGAAATTGAATGAACCTACTGAAATTCCCAGGAACATGAATTTAGCCACTAACATTCTCAGGATCTTGAATTTAACCACTGAAATATGTATGACCTTGAATTTAGCCACCTAAATTATCATCAACTTGAATTTAGCCATTGAAATTCTCTGGAACTTGATTTTAGCCACTGAAATTCCAAGGATTTTGAATTTAGCCACCGAAATTCTCAGGATCTTTAATTTAGCCACTGAAATTCTCACGAACTTGAATTTAGCCACTAAAATTATCAGAGCTCAAACACGTGCGATGGGAATTTTGTAGCCGTTGTGGGGAGTGGCGGGTTTACGCAGTGTGGCCTCTTATTAGGTGTTGTTCACTAACAGCACTTGCCCCAAAAGTATGGTAAAGCTATACGGGCGATCCTTGTCTTTTTGTCTATATTAAAACTTTATTACTTGGGGGACAAAAGCAGCTGAGTGTGGTGCTGGCCACCCACCCTCTGGTGTGCTGTGCCAGCCTTAATAGGTGCTACTCACTAGCAGCATTTGACCCAACATTATGTTAACACTATACGAGGGGGCGAGGGGGAAGGGGGGGCATCTTTGTCTTTGCGTATCTGTGTGTGTCTGCTTGTGCTGTAAGGAAAATGTGCATTCAGTAGATCAGATTGTTGTACCCACTTGCAACAGGAGGAGGCCTCATGTGCCAAGCCACTTCTCTCATGGACTGCATGGCACCACGGTTGGGAGCTGTAAAACACACACAGATGCGGTACCGCTCATTCAACCTTCTTCCAGCCCAGATCTTTCCACTGCACGAGCGACCCGCGCCAGTGCCGTGCCAGAGACGCTCGATGGACGACATTGCGACCTCACGGCGTGCCTAGCTGTTGTCTGTGTCTCTGTGTGGGCCTATCTGTGTGTCTGTGTATATGTGTCTGGCGGATCCAGGAGATTGAATCTTTACCCTCGGGGCTCCTCCAGAAACAAGAAAAAGCCACTATGGATGGCCATGTGGAATGTTCCAATGCTCACTGCGGAGGAAAGGCTGCCACTCCTCTGTCAGGAGCTGGACCGGTACCGCCTGGATCTCTGTGGCATTCAGGAGGTCCGGTGGACCGGCTCTGGCTCCTGCCACCATGAGGGGTGGACAGTCCTCTACTCGGGGCAGAAGACTGCCAAACAACAGGGTGTGGCTCTTCTTCTGAACAAAAGAATGAAGGGGGCGTGGGAGCATGGCGGTGAGGTGTGGGAAGCTGTAAGTCCCAGGCTACTTTGGGTTCGCCTTCCTATCAACCTGAGGCAAGGAGTGGTGGTCGTGGTTCCTTATGCCCCCACCGAAGACGAACATCCGTGGAGGGATGCAGGCAAGGCTGATGAGTCAGATGCCTTCTTTGGCCTCCTGTCACAGGTGCCGGCTAAAGTGGACCCTCGGGATAGAGTCATCTTGTTAGGTGACTTCAATGCTCGAGTTGGTCATGATGCTGGCACCTGTTAATGAGTGATTGGAAGGCATGGGCCAGATCAGCTCAATAACAAAGGTAGGAGGCTGCTGGGATTTTTGTGCAGCCCATGGGCTTGTTATTACCAACACGCTGTTCCGGCATCATGGATGTATGCCGGGTCCAAGCAAGAACATCTGCTGGACTAAATAGTGACGGACCAGCGGATGCGAGCCAATGTCCTTGACACCAGGACTTACCGTGGAGCTGATCAGCCCTCTGACCATCGATTTGTCATCTGTAAGATGCACCTGCCATTCTCCCACTTCGGTGTTGGGTGTACACCCAGGACCCCATTCTAACCTAAGGTGGCCTGATCTCAGCTAGCTGCAAGCGATCATTTCATCATCGCTTGCGGCTGGGGTTGGCATAGTCCCTCACTCCTCCTGATGTCGAGGGTAAATGGGCGAGGTTTAGGACTGTGACTCATGCAGCTGCAATGGCTGCTTTGGATACACGGTCCAGACTTCCCCAGAGACCCTGGCTGACAGAGGAGGTGTTCAAGCTGGCTGAGAAAAAGTGACAGGCCCACTCTCATCGGCACAGCATCCCACGTCAGAGAATGAGGAGGCATACAGCAGCCTTCGCTCATAGGTTCCATCAAAAAAGTAACCTGCAGCACCACACCTATTACCATCATTAGGGGAAAGAACGGTGATCCAATCTCTGACTCCCAGGAACATGTTTGCAGATGTGCTGAGCATTTCTGTGAGGTCCTGGGGGAGGGGAAATCCCTCAGCCTGGAAAATTATGGGACAAAATGAAGATAACCCTGCTGAGGCTGCAGTGCCTCGAATATTTGATGAGGAAGTCACCCCCTATGAGTGTTTGGCTGAGGTGCCATCTGTTGAGGAAGTACTGAAGGCAATCCAGAGTCTGAGACCAGGAAAGGCAATGGGCAGAGATGATCTCCCAAGCGAAATGCTGAGGGAGGGTGGCGTTTGTGCGCACACTGCCCTACATGACAACAGTCTGGGCCACTGGACGGGTTCCGCGGGATTGAAATCATGCCCTGGTGGTCCACCTCTTTAAGAAGGGGGACCGCACAAACTGTAACAACTACAAAGGCATCTCACTCCTAAGTGTGTCGGGAAAGGTCTTGGCAAGGATTATTCAACTTCACCTTGCTTGCTAGGCGCGCTGAGGCGAGGCATGCGGAGCCCCAGTATGGTTTCAGGTCCTGCACAGATGCCATATTTTCTGTCAGTGTGATACAACAGAGGTGTAGGGAATTCCAACACGACCTACATCTCTGCTTTATTGACCTCATCAAGGCCTATGATACCATCAGTAGGCCTGGGCTCTGGGTTGTTCTTTATGCTTTCGGAGTCCCTGATCCTTTCCTCAGGCTCATTAAGGACCTTCCTGATGGTGAGCGGGCCCAGGTAAAACTACGTGGCCGGGAGTCAGAGCCATTCCCTGTACACCTTGGGGTGCGACAGGTATGTCCTCCGGCTCCCACATTATTTAACATCTATTATGACCACGTAGTTCGTGAAGCCTTCAATTGCTGTACCAGAGGAATTTCCATTTGGTACTGATATAATTGGGAGGCTGATCGATGCCCGGGTGCGGTCAAGGGATGGCTCCCTATTGCTCAACCACGTTATGTATGCCGATGATCTGGTAATTGCTGCTCACTCAGAGGAGGAGTTGGAGGCGCTGCTGCTGAACCTGGAGCTTGCCACCAAGAGGTGGGGCCTTAACATCAACCCCAACAAAACTAAGCACCTGCCTGGGTATTTTGTACCATCGGATACTCCACCCCCACAACTCCCAATTGGTGATAGGACAGTTGTGGAAAGAGTGGAGAGTTTCCTATACCTTGGCAGTGTGCTCATGACTGGCTCCAGTTTAGCAGCAGAGGTCTCACTCCGAATCAGTCTAGCGACATTATCTTTTCATCGGTTGCGTAACGCTGTGTGGAAGCTACCTCTTCTACCACTCTGCACACAGCTTCAGGACTTTTCGTGCACGGTTATCCCCTTCCTACTCTACACTTGAGAAACGTGGACCCCCGTAATGGAACATCTTCGCCGGTTCGAAACATTTAGGCTGGCCTGCCTACGATCCATCCTGGGTTTAACCAGACTGGATTGTGTGAGGAGCTCACAAATCCTTGAAAGATGTGGACATCCATCGGTGAGCACCTCAGGCTGGCAAGGCTGCGTTGGCTGGGCCATGTAGCCCGCATGCCCAATCACCGCATGCCCAAACAGCTTTTGTTCAGCCAGATCGAGGGGCCTAGATGAGCGTGGCACAGGCTAGAGAAGAGATGGAGTGACGTGGTACAGGAGGATATGGAGCTGATTGGACTTGCCGATGACTGGTACCAGCGGTGGTCAAGATCGGCCTCTGTGGAGAAGGCTCATGAAGGACGCTACTGGGCAGTTGGAGGGTGACTGGAGGCAGTCACCCTCCAAAAACAATGGAACGCGGAAGAGCGACGCTCACAACAACGAGCGGAGCACCAGGTGGCTAAAGCACAGCAAGTTGGCACACTAGGGGGCACAGGTGGTGCAGCAGCCAGTCATCTCTGTCAGTCGATCTGTGGCACCTGGGTCTGCCCCATGACCTCCTGCCGGTGGGCATTCGACACTTCACTTAGCCTCAACGTGCACATAGCCTTGGTGACGTCACCGCCACTTAGTCGCGAATGCCGGTTGTTGTTGTGTCCGTGTGTGTCTATCTGTGTGTATATCTGCGTGTGTATCTGTGTGTCTGTGTGTGTATGCGTCTATTTTTCCGTTGCTGAAACGTGTATTCAGGGTGGCATCAGAGTCGTGTATGCACTCGTGGCAGCAGACACTGGAGGATACAGCAAACACCTCTATTCCCCGCCATGCATGGGTGCTGCAAAAAGCACACCGGGAACACCGGGGGGGTACCGGGGGACCTCAACCTCCCTCTTACACCTCTGACGTTTGTCCGCTACCGGCAAGCGATCATCCTGTGTCAGCGAGCGCCATGCCGGTGACATCATCATCCTCACCGCATCGTCGTCATCATCACCACACCGTCGTCGCCGCTTAGCGTCCCCACGCCACCCCCAACGCCACCCCCCACGCTGGCCCCCACGCCGCTCGCCACCGTCACGCCCCCCCCGATTGTGTCGCCAACCATGGAGGAGGGGAGGGTGGGGGGTCCTTGCCATTGTCGTTCGCGATTTTCGACTAAAACACCGACCAACTGACACACCGACCGGCTAACGCACAGACTAGAACACCGAATGACTAAAGCACTGACTGACTGACACACCGACCGACTAAAACACCGACAAACTAACAAACCGACTCACCATCAGACTGACTGACTGACAGACCGTCCGACCGATACTGATTAACAGACGGACTGACTAGCTATCAAACCGACTAGGCAGACTGACAGACACAGCAATTGAGTAAATGACAAAAATCAAGTCAGGCTGAAAGACAGAAACTCCAAATGACTGGCATATATCCACAGACAGACACACCAACTGACTGACATGCCAACAGACAGACAAGCCGAATAACAGAGCCACAGACAGATACACCGAATGACTGACATAACCACATGCTGACTGACCCACACGCTGACCGACTGTACCATCGACCCACAGACCGACTACATAAAGCCTCCCACCCCCCTCCCCCGTCCCCCACCCCGCTTCTAACCTGAACCACCAAAGAAGTGATGGCGTGGGGTGGGGCGCTCCTGCATGGCGGCCCCTAGTGGCTGGCGGGAGTCGGTGTCCACTCCGACGAAGGCCGTGTAGGGAGACACGACGCCCGACTCCACGCTCAGCGCCACCACTCGCTCCCGGCGAGACTTGGCCTCCTTCTCCTCATTCTTCTTCTTCTGCTGCTCCGCGTCTCCCGGCGCCGGCGTAGAGTCGGGGATATTGGGACCCGACACGAGGTGGCGGATCATCGCCTTGGCTGCGAGCCAGTGCAGGGTGGCACTGGGAGAGGTTACGGTGGAGGGGGGTGCAGAGGCTCACTCACTCTGAGCCTGAGAACCGCTCCCTGAGTCTCACTCCCTGGGTCTGCCTGAGCTGCTGTTCCCTGGTTTGCCAGATACGGACAGCTGCCTCCACCCCGACTCCATGTGATCAGCGGTCTCATGGCTGTGCACCATGGTGTGTGGGCCAGCACGCTCAACTTCCTTCAGCAGCCTTCACGTGGCTCCCTGGGTGACCGTGAGGCCTACACCCAGGCCGGAGCCTGTGCGGGCCGCTCGGTGAGCCGTGCTGTGGCCAGCGGGGTGCTTGGAAAGCCTCGTGGGGTCCATATTCAAGGCAGCCTCCTGGATGTCTGTGGGTCCTATGTTGGGCTGTAAAATGCTTAACACCTAGGAGGCTTTAGTGACCAATATTATCTATAATCGAGGTTTTTGGGTAAGATCGCGTAAATGTGTCGTTAAACCCGCCACCAACTGACACAGTCAATTAGTAACGTTATCCATTGTAATTGATATCCATTGCAATTTGCATGACTACATTAACCCCCCCCCCACCTCTGGCCTTCACACCTGACTGGCTCACAAGGTGACGACATCACATTTATCCCAGGACATCTATTTAAGAATGAAACAGGAGGAGGATTTCGCCACAACTCGGAGGCTGTCCGCCTGATGATGATGCCGGTTGTTGTTGTAATTACCAGCGAAACGTCACACGGATACTCCATTTGTAAACGCTGTTGTGGGTTTACTCTCCAACCTACAACCGGTGTAGTGCTATACTAGTAACGAATTGGCACGTTTTGTTTACGTCACAAACCTCACTGATTGGCTGTGTCTGGTAGGTGGTGAGTTTAAGGAAACATTTATACCTATTTTTATGGACTATAAAATGCTGCTGGCTCGTTTGTTGCTGCTCTGGCAGCCACCTGCTTTGAACATCTTTATCGGTGGGTCGGTGGGTGAATGAGTGGGTGAACGAGCGGGTGGGTGATAGAGTGGTGAATGAGCAGGTGGGTGAACAGGCGGGTGGGTGAATGAGTGGGTCGGTGAATGAGCGAGTGAATGATTGGTTGGGTGAACGAGCAGGTGGGTGAATGAGTGGGTGGGTGAATGAGGGGGCTACATACCGGGACTCGCCAGGGTTGGCGGTCTGGCTGGTGACGGGAACCCGGTTCTCCACGGACTCCCCATGCAGGGAGTACTTCAGCACTGCCTCGCCCTGCCATGGGGCAGCCGGAGCCTGCACAGACGAGAGGCTCAGTCTGGGAGCCTGACCCAGAGACCCGATGCCTACCTGAGTCTCAATCTGACCCCGAGACCCGGTCACCCCGAGTCTCACTCCAGACTCTGACCCAGAGACCCGGTCACCCCAAGTCTCACTCCAGACTCTGACCCTGAGACCCGGTCACCCCGAGTCTCACTCCAGACTCTGGCCCAGAGACCCGGTCACCCCAAGTCTCACTTCAGACTCCTGAGACCCGGCCCCTCCTGACGCTCAATTAGACTTGTCCCCATGTCTCGCCGTGTCGAACCAGGTCCCCGTGTCCCCGCGTGTTGCGTGTGGTCTCACGGTGCCAGCGAGCTGTGCGTAGAGGATGATTCGCTGGCCCAGGAAGATGCTGCGTGGCACCTCGGGCACCACGATGGCCGACAGGCCCAGGGGGAGGCTCCAGGAGAGGGACACGGAGGTCAGCGTGGGCTGGAGAGCGCACTTCAGGGCCTTCAGCACCTGGGGTGATGGGCGCGGAGACAGAGGGAGAGGGAGGGAGAGGGAGGGTGAGGTAAAGGCAGAGGGTGGCAGGCAGGGAGGCAGGAGGAGAGGGAGGGAGGGAGAGGGGGAGGGAGGTTCCGATAATCGTCACTGATGGTCGCCATGAGCGGGAAATGAACCGAACCGGTCCTGGGCCTCCCCCGAGATCGAAACAGAGAGAGATAGAGACACAGAGACACAGAGAGAAACAGAGAGAGATAGAGAGATAGAGTGAGAGAGAGACAAACAGAGAGATACCAAGACAGAGAGACACAGAAACAGACAGCCCGAGAGAGACAGATACACAGAGAGACAGTGACAAAGAGACAGACACACAGACAGAGAGATACCAAGACAGAGACACAGAGACAGACAGCCCTCTGGATGTCTGTCACAGAGACAGAAGAGAGACGCCCAGAACCCGGGAATCTGAGTGGCACTGTCTCAGGTGCAGGGTCTCCGTGTTCGCGGTTTTCAGTCTGAGTGGACCTAAGGACGCACGGCGCTCACCTTGCACTGCAAGCGCTCCGTGCCGGTGATGAACTCGGCCGTCCCTCCTCCGCTGGCGGCGATCCCCTTGATCAGCTCCGTGGAGGCACCGTCACCGATTCCAAAGGAGAAGCAGCTACACACACATACATAGAGACACACATAGAGACACACACAGATACACACACAGACACACACAGACACACACCGACACACACACGGACACGCAGACACACACATACAGACACACAGAGACGCACACACAGAATGAAGAACTAAGTCCGGGCCGAGTATAGTCACTGTGTCTTAAATAAAGAGGCTACACGTATCCAGTTGTCCGAGTCATTACACTACTACACACTACAATACACTACTACACACTACACTACACTACTACACACTACACTACCACACACTACACACTACACGCTACACTACACTACTACACGCCACACTACACTACACGCTACACTACTACACACTACACTACTACACACTACACTACTACAACAACAACAACCACCATTCGCCACTAAGTGGCGGTGACATCACCACGACGCTTGTGCCAGGTCATGTGCACCTTGAGGCCACGTGAAGTGTCGAACGCCCGCTGGCAGAAGGTCACGGGGCAGACCCAGGTGCCATGGGTCGACTGACTGAGATGACCGAAATGACTGGCTGATGCACCACCTGTGCCCCCTACTGTGCCAACTTGCTGTGCTTTAGCCACCCGGCGCTCTGCTCATTGTTGTGAGCGTCGCTTCTCCGCCCTCCGTTGTTGCTGGAGGGCGACTGCCTCCAACTGCCCAGTAGCGTCCTTCATGAGCCTCCTCTACAGAGGCCGATCTTGACACTGCTGGTACCAGTCATCGACAAGTCCACTCAGCTCCACGTCCTCCTGTACCACATCACTCCATCTTTTCTCTAGCCCGTGCTGCGCCTGTTTAGCCCCCTCGATCCGGCCGAACAAAAGCTGTTTAGGCATGCGGTGGCTGGGCATGCGGGCTACATAACCCAGCCAACGCAGCCTTGCCTGCCGGAGGAGCTCACTGATGGAACTTTGCCCAGATCTTTCAAGGATTTGTGAGCTACTACTACATGCTACACTACTACACGACACACTACTACACACTACACCATAACACACTACACCGCTACACACTACCTACACCACTAACCACTAAAATACACTACACGACTATGCACTACACTACTGCACGACTAGACGCTACACTACACTACTGCACTATTATACTCAATTGAAAACAAAGATTGAGTAGTTGAATGAGCAGCTGAGTGAGTAGCTGAGTGAGTGAACTAGTGAGTAGTGAGTGAGTCTAACCGATGCTTGTTTGCGTTCTTCTTCACCAGGCTGATAACGTCACGGGTGTTGGAGACTTCTCCATCAGTCAGCACCATCAACTATGACATCACAACATCACAGCACCATTCACTCTCACATCACAACACCGTCAACTATGACATCACAACATCACAACACTATCAACTATGACATCACATCACAATACCGTCAACTATAACATCATAACATCACATCAACTACGTCGGCTGTGTGTGTGCGTGTACACGTACTTCGTGCGTGCGTGTGCAATTGTTACACATGACGCCTGTGGACGAATTCCACGTGTGTGTGTGTGGTGACGTCACCGCCACTTAGTGGCTAATGGCGGTTTTTGTTGTTGTGTGTGGAGAGCGGTCGTGTAGTGGTTAGCGCAACGCTGCACTACGAAGTTGGCGACCCGGGTTCGATTCCCACTCACGGCCAACACCAGTGACGATTATCTGAACCGGTCCTTGGGCCTCCCCAAGGTCGACTCAGCCTCAAATGAGTACCTGGTGCGGTATGTAAACATCGCCACTGGGGAGACAAAGGCGGCTGGGCGTGGTGTTGGCCACCCACCCTCTCGTGTGCCGTGCCGGCCTTCATAGGTGCTGCTCGCTAACAGCACTTTCCCCTACAGTCTTACAGGCTATACGGGGGATGTTGTCTTTGTATTTGTGTGTGTACGTGTGTGTATGCCTGGGTATTTTGTACCATCGGACACTCCACCCCCACAACTCCCAATCGGTGATGGGGCAGTTGTGGAGAAAGTGGAGAGTTTCCCATACCTGGGCAGTGTGCTCATGACCGACTCCGGTTTAACAGCAGAGGTCTCACTCCGAATCAGTCGAGCGGCATTATCTTTTTATCGGTTGCGTAATGCTGTGTGGAAGCTACCTGGTCTGTCGCTCCGCACGAAGCTTCGGGTCTTCTCGGCCACAGTCATTCCCTCCCTTCTTTACGCTTGTGAAACGTGGACCCCCCTAATGGAACATCTTCGCCGGTGAGAAATATTTAGACTGGCCTGCCTACGATCAATCCTAGGTTTGGCCAGGCTGGATTGTGTGAGGAGCTCACAAATCCTTGAAATATCTGGGCAAAGTCCCATCAGTGAGCTCCTACCCCCTAACCCCCCCACAATGTTGTCGATCACAATGGACTAGACCAAGCGCACTGCCGAATGGCGAGAGGAGGAGGGGGTGGAGGAGGTAACGGTTGGACCGCGCCACTCACCTGCCGGGGGTGTTCCGGCCGGCATGCCGAGCGGTAGATGGCCACCAACGGCTCCAGGATCTCGGTGCCCCCCAAGTCGGCGCTCATCCCCTTGACGAGCTTCAGCGCCTCGTCCATGCTCGCCTGCGAGTACTCACGGCTCTCCCTGGGCAGGGGGGAGTACAGCAAGTGGGACCGAGATGTCAACTCTCATCACCGGGGTGGTTACACCGTGGCATGCACGGCCCCCCACTCCCCTCGCTCCTCCAAACCCCCTTTCCCTTCCCCTTCGCTCCCTCCATCTGACCCACTCCGTTCCCTCCCCCCCTTGCTCCTCCCTCCCTTTCCTCCCCTCTCCCTTCCTCCCCACTCCCCACTCACTCCTCCCTCCCCGCTTCCACCCTCCCTCCCCACTCCACACTTCCTCCCTGTCTCCACACTCTCTCCCAACTCCACACTCTCTCCCTGGGGAGGAATGGTCATCTGTGAATAAGAGCTTCATAGCTCATCGGATTCATCCTCCACTCTAAATACAGAGTCTGAGTAACAGGGGGGGCTGAGTGCTAGGGGGCTGGGTAAGGGGCTAGGGGATGTGGGAGGGGCTACGGGGGGGGGGCGAAGGGGGGCTAAGGGTGGAGGCTCACGGGAAGAAGCTGTTGTAGCTGCTTCCAAATGCGTAGACGTTGAAGAAGCAGCCGAGAGGCAGACTCTTCAGCAGCAGCATCAGCGTCTCCTGCAGGGGGGGGGGGGAGCAAGGAATTAACATGGCGTAGGCATGGGGGAAGCATGAAATTAATATGGGGGCAGCATTGGGGAAATATGACATTAATATAGGGGCAGCATTGGGGAAGCATGACATGAATATAGGGGCAGCATTGGGGAAGCATGGGGGAAGCATGGAATTAACATGGGGGAAGCATGAGAAAAGCATAGAAGAAAGGAGGCCACAGTTTAACACGGTGCAAGCAAAGGACTCAGACTCACCACACAGACCCACAGACTCACCACACAGACCCACAGACTTACCACACACCCACAGACTCACCACCAGACCCAAAGACTCACCGCACAGAGGCCCACATTGACCCATACACACACAGAGACGCACACACACAGAAACCCACACTCACCACTCAGAGACCCATAGACTCACCACGCAGACCCACAGACTCACCACACAGACCCAAAGACTCACCACAAACAGCCCTACAGACTAACAACACAGATACTCACATTTAGACCAATACATATGTAGTGACATAAGAAGGGAGGGGCTGCTGGGGGCTCTGGGACCCTGGGCGGGCCAGGCGCTTGGGCCCCTTGGCGCCAGGCGTTGGGTTCCTAGGCGCTTAAGCCCCTTGGCGCCGCCAAAGGGGGGGGCTGTGTGTGCTCTGTGGGATATCTGGGGGCGCACACGGCCCCACCCCTCGTTGGGGACTAGGCATAAAAGGGGAGCACCCTGGACGATCAGGGCCAGTCGTAGCTCAAGACCCAAGACCCAAGACCAGCCATCTGAGGACCCTGGGATGCTGTGAGAGCGAGTGGTGGGACTCTGGAACTCCCGGCTCTACGTCCTTGTGAGGGTGGGATCAGAGCGTAGCCAGAGTAGTGTATCTAGGCTGTGTACCTAGGCTGTGTACCTAGGCTGTAACAGAGTAGTTGGACTGTTGGACTGTTGGAGTGTTGGATCGTAATAAAGAAGTTACCTCTACAAGTGTCTCCGGAACCCGTTACACATACACAGAGACCCAAAAACTTGCCAAACAGAGACCCACACACACAGACACAGAGACTCACCGCACAGAGAACCACATAGACCTACACACACACTGATGCCCACACACACACCGAGACCCACACAACAACAACAACCTCCATTCGACACTAAGTGGCGGTGACGGCGCTTGTGCCAGGCGATGTGCACGTTGAGGCCTCGTGAAGTGTCGAACGCCTGCTCCCAGGAGGTCAGGGGGCAGACCCAGGTACCACGGAATGACTGACTGAGACGACTGTCTGATGCACCACCTGTGCCCCCTACTGTGCCAACTTGCTGTGCTATAGCCACCCGGCGCTCCGCTCGTTGTTGTGAGCATCGCTTCCGTTGTTGTTGGAGGGCGACTCCCTCCAACTGCCCAGTAGCGTCCTTCATGAGCCTCCTCCACAGAGGCCGATCTCGACACCGCTGGTACCAGTCATTGGCAAGTCTACTCAGCTCCACATTCTCTTGTACCACATCACCCGTGCCGCGCCCGTATAGCCCCCTCTATCCTGTCGAACAAAAGCCGCTTAGGCATGCGGTGGCTGGATATGCTGGCTACATGACTCAGCCAACGAAGCTTTGCCTGCTGGAGGTTCGTAGGCAGCCCAGCCTAAATGTTTCTTACTGGCGAAGATGTTCCATTAGGGAGGTCCACGTTTCGCAAGCATAGAGAAGGGAGGGCATGACAGTGGCTGAGAAGACCCGAAGCTTCGTGTGGAGCAACAGACCAGGTAGCTTACACACAGCATTATGCAATTGATGAAAAGATATCGCTCGTCGCTCGACTGATTCGGAGTGAGACCTCTGCTGCGAAACTCGAACCGATCATGAGCACACTGCCCAGGACTGGGAAACTCTCCACTCTCTCCACAACTGCCGCACCACCAACTGGGAGTTGTGGGGGTGGAGTGTCTGATGGTACAAAATACCCAGACAGGTGCATAGTTTTGGTGGGGTTGATGGTAAGGCCCCACCTCTTAGTGGCACGCTCCAGGTTCAGCAGCAGCGCCTCCAACTCCTCTTCTGAGGGAGCAGCAATTACCAGAACATTGGCATACGTAACATGGTTGACCAATAGGAAGCTATCCCTTGACCGCACCTGGGCATCGATCAGCCTCCCATTGTATTTGTACCAGATGGATATTTTTCCGGTACAGCCATCGAAGGCTTCACAAACTACGTGGTCGAAATAGATGTATAAAATGTGGGACCCGAGAGGACATCCCTTTCGCACCCCAAGGTGAACAGGGAATGGCTCCGAATCCCAGCCATGTAGTTTTACCTGGGCCCGCTCACCATCATGAAGGTCCTTAATGATTGTGTGCAGAGAATCAGGGACTCCAAAAGCATGAAGAACAACCCAGAGCTCAGGGCTACTGACGGAATCATAGGCCTTGACCAGGTCAATAAAGCAGAGATGTATCTTGTGGGAATTCCCTACACCTTTGCTGTAGCAGACATAAAAAATATGGCATATGTGCAGGACCGACCCTTCCTGAAACTTCATTGGGGCTCCGCAAGCCTCACCTCAGCGTGCCTGGCAAGGCGATGATCAATAATCCTTGCCAGGGCCTTTCCCGTCACACTGAGGAGGGAGATACCTGTGTAGTTGTTACAGTCTGTGCGGTCCCCCTTCTTAAAGAGGGGGACCACCAGGGCATCCTTCCAATCCTGCCAAACCCATCCAGTGGTCCAGCATGTTGTTATGTCATTTAGAGTCATCATCATAGGCCTGTGTGTCTCGAAAGACAATTATTTTGCACCTTATGAGGTCAGCTGTAGGTTTTGTAGTGCCTATAATTACTTAGTAGGCCAATCCTTGAGTGACAATCCTTGCCATAGCGATTGCAAGTGATTGCGGTGGCAGCTCCAGAGGAATTTATTGCTTTTTCTTTTCGCCGCTCCCTCTTGGTCTGCCAAGCAGTGTGTATTTTCTCCTCGCCTCTCCAGCTAAGTCGGTCGCCAGCAGTTTTCTCCCAGTCATTTGGGTTGATGTCGCAGCTATTCATGTCCCATTTACAGACATCTTTGAAGCACAGGACTGGGCGACCAGTGGCCCGTGTGCCTGATGCCAGCTCTCCGTACAAGACATCCTTGGGTATTCTGCCAACCTGCATGCGGCGCACGTGTCCAAGCCATCTCAGGCGCCTATGAATGAATAGAAAGTACATGCTGGGAATGTTGACCAAGTTGAGGACTGAGGTGTTGGGAATGTGATCTTGCCATTTGATACCGAGGATGTGCTTGACACATCGGAAGTGGAATATGTTTAGTCGTAGTTCTTGATGGACCTATATTGCCCAGGACTCAGACCCATAGAGGAGGGTGTTTAGGACACAGGCCCGGTACACCTGCACTTTGGTGTTGGGCATTAGGGATTTGTTCTCCCACACTCTTTTGGTCAATCTGAACATAGCTGTAGACGCCTTCCCAATGCGCTTGTCATTCTCTGTTACAAAAAACAAATTTCAGGTGATAGTGGACCCCAAGTAGGTGAAGTCCTGAACAGCTTCCAGGGTGTAGCTGCTAATATTTATGGAAGGGGTGTCCCTGACATCCTGGCCCATGACATTGGTATTTTCCAGACTGATTGTCAGGCCTAAGTTGTTGCAGGCATTGGCAAGGTGTTCGATGAGTGTCCGCAGACCTTGTTCTATGTGTGCAGTCAGCGCGGCATCATCAGCGAATAGGAGATCTGAGATGGCCAAGGTTGAAGAGTTTCCCATCAGATCTTGTATGGAGAAAAACTCTGCTGTCCCAAAGGCATGTGTGAGCATAAGTGAGAAAAAGATGCCAAACAGTGTTGGGGCCAGCACGCACCCCTGCTTTACACTGCTGAGTATGGGAAATTCCTCTGAGGTGGTGCCGCTGTGCTGTATTGTTCCTTTCATGTTGTCAGGGAAAGAGGAGATGACTGCCAGCAGCTTCGGTGGGCAGCCGATCACTTTGAGGAGTTTGAAGAGGCCTCCCCTACTGATGAGGTCAAAGGCTTTTGTAAGATCAATGAATGACAAGTACAGGGGCATTCTCTCTTCTCGAGATTTCTCCTGCATCTGGCGCAAGGAGAAGAGCATGTCATTGTGGACCTTCCTGCTCTGAAGTCACACTGAGCCTCAGGATACGTCCCCTAGTATCTGTAACCTGCTGAGGACCACATGGGCCAAGGATTTCTCCATGATGCTCAGCAGGAATATGCCGCGGTAGTTATTGCAGTCCCCATGGTCACCCTTGTTTTTATATAGGGTGATGATGTTGAAGTCTCTCATGTCTTGAGGCATAGCTCCTTCTTCCCAGCACTGGCAGATAAGTTCATGGAGTTTTGTGAGGACGGCGGGTTTTGCACATTTCAGGACCTCAGGTGTGATACTGTCCTGTCCCGGGGGACTTGCCGCTAGCTAGAGAGTTGATGGCATTGTCAAGTTCCTTCAAGGTTGGAACATTTTCTAGTTCATGTATTGTTGGTAGGGGCTTTATAGCAGCAAGGGCAGCTTCTGACACACCGTTGTCTTGTGTGTAGAGCTCTGAGTAGTGTTCTGCCCACCTGTCCATTTGCTCTTGTTAATCAGTGATGATGGCCCCTGAGCTGGTTTTAAGGGGGGCAGTCCTCCGGATGTTTGGACCAAAGGCTGTCTTGATGCCTTCATACATGGCACGGATATTGCCAGTGTCAGAGGCGCATGGGATCCTACTGCTGAGGTTCACCCAGTAGTTGTTGGCACAGGGTCTGGCGGTCGTTTTAGCTGCACTGTGGGCAGCTTTCAGAGTCTTTAATGATCCTGTACTTGGGAATTGCTTGTACTTCAGGAGTGCTATGCGCTTGGCTTGGAGGATGGGTTCCAATATAGCCAGTCTGTGTTCTGCCTTGTCTGCTTGCCGAAGGTATTGATGGCTGCATTGAAGATGGCGTCTCTGATGCATGGCCACTTTGTCTCCATGCTTCCATCTGGTGTGTCGTGTACGGACTGCTCAAGGCGGTGTTGGAATTATTGAGTGAGCTCTGGGAGGGAGGTCTTGGCAGAGTTGATGCGAAGGTAGCGCTTTTGTTTGAGGCGGTGTATCTTTTTGGGGCAAAGTCTGACCTTGCTGGATACCAGCGAGTGATTGGTGTCACAGACTGCACTGTGGTAAGATGCGCCTGCCAGAATAGTCTGTGCACAAATGCCACCCTCTCTCAGCATTTTTCTTTGGAGATCATCTATGCCCGGTACCTATCCTGGTCTCAATCTATGGATCGCTATCAGTATTCGTATTTCCTCAACAGATGGCACCTCAGCCAGCCACTCACAGGGGGTAACATCTTCCAATATTTTAGGCACGGCAGCCTCAGCAGGGTCATCTACACTTTGCCCCATGATGTTTTCCAGGCTGATTTCCCCTACCCGAAGACCTCACAAAAATGCTCAGCAAATCTGCAAACCTGTTCCTGGGGGTCGGAGATTGGATCACCGTCCTTTCCCCTAATGATGGCAATAGGTGTGATGCTGCAAGTTACTTTTTTGATGGAATTAAAGAGTGATTTGTGATCGCCAGCTACTGAGGTAGATTCCATCTCCTCAGAAACTCGTGACCACCACCCATCCGTGTAGCGCCTCACGGCTCTCAGAACCTCTGAGCGAAGGCTGCGGCGAGCCTCCTTATTCTCCGATGTTGGATGTTGTAGACAACGGGAGTGGGCCTGTCTTGTTTTCTCAGCCAGCCTGAAAACCTCCTCTGTCAGCCAGTGTCTCTGGGGAGGACTGGACCGTGTACCCAATTCAGCCATTGCAGCTCCATGAGCCACAGTCCTAAACCTTGCCCATTTCCCCTCGGCATGAGGAGTGGGGGACGATGCCAATTGCAGCTGCAAACATTGACGAAATTCTCACTTGCAACTTTCATCAGCTAGCTGAGACCAGGCCACTGTGGGTTTGAATGGAGTCTTGGGTATATACCCACCACCGGAGTGAAAGAATGGCAGGCGCATCTTACAGATGACAAGCCGATGGTCAGTGGGCAGATCAGCTCCACGGTAGGTCCTGGTGTCATGGACATAGGCCAGCATCCGCTGTCCATGATGTTGTGTGGATGCACCGATGCTGGAACAGCGAATTGGTAATTACAAGCCTATGGGCTGCACAAAAGTCTAGCAGCCTCCTACCGTTGTTATTGAGCTGATCTGGCCCATGCCTTCCAATAACTCCAGACCAGGTGGCAGCATCATGACCAAATCAGGCATTTAAGTCACCTAACAGGATGACTCGATCCCAAGGGGCCACTTTGGATAACACAAATGACAGGAGGTCATAGAAGGCATCTGACTCATCTGCCTTGCCTGCATCCCTCCACCGATGTTCATCTTCGGCATAAGTAACCACCAACACCACTCCTTGCCTCTGGTTGATGGGAAGACGAGCCCAAAGTAGCCTGGGGCTTACAACTTCCCACACCTCACTGGAATGCTCACTTACACACACACAGAGACCCACAGACTCACCACACAGAGACCCACATCACACAGAGAGACCCACATACACACACAGAGACCTACACAAAGACACACAGAGACCCCCACACACATATAGAGCCCCACAGACTCACCACACAGAGACCCACATCACAGAGAGAGACCCACATCACACAGAGAGACCCACATCACACACACAGAGACCCACACACACACATACACAGAGACCTACACACACGTACACAGAGACCCACACACACACACAGAGCCCCACAGCGACGTGCCCACCTTGGCGCTGTGGATGCGAGTCTCCCTCCATCCGCTGCCGTAATTGACCATGGGGCATGTCATGCTGCCGGAACAGTCCACCACAAAGATGAACTCCCCTTTCTGAGTCAACGCCTCCGCCCCCTTGGCGGACTTAGTCTCTCCCGCATCCGGGAAGAAGTTCAGCATGGCCACTGTGTCACTCATCAGAGAGGAGGCTGGGAGGAGGTGAGGGGGGAAAGAAGAGGTTAAGTAGTAGGGGACGGGAGATGTGGAAGGAGGAGGGGGAGCAGGGGGAGGAGGAAGGGGTAGAGAGGAGGAGGATCAGAGTTTGGCCGTGTTCTCGTGGATGTTGACTTCCTCGCCTGGTACACACGAGGTCGTGGGTTGTTGCGAGGGCTTAGAGACAGCGACGATAGTGGGAAGGCTGGTGAGGTGACCTAGAGATGGGCTGAGTAACTGGCTCATTGACAGATGGATGAGTGACTAGGTAAGTGAGTGACTGTATAGTCTATGGGTGAGTGAGTTACTAGGTTGGTGAGTGACTAGGTGGGCAAATTAGTGAGTGACTGGGTAAATTACTAGGTAGGCGAGTGACCGGGCAAGTTAGTGGGTGAATGAGTGAGTGACTAAGTGAATGAGTGACTAGAAAGTGAGTGAGATCGTGAGTGACTCATTGGGTGAGTGACTAGGTGGGTGAGTGACCAGGCGAGTGAGTGACTGGGTTAATGAGTGAATGGTTGGATAAGTGAATGGGTAGATGAGTGATTGGGTGAGTGAGTAGGTGGGTGATGGGTGAGTGACAGAGTGAATGAGTGAGTGACAGGTTGGATGAGTGACTGGGTAGATGAGTGACTGGGTGGATGAGTGACTCACAATAACGAGCAGAGCACTAGGTGGCTAAAACACAGCAAGTTGGCATAGTAGGGGGCACCGGTGGTGCATCGGGCAGTCATCTCAGTCAGTCGAACCTTGGCATCTGGGTCTGCCCCGTGACCTCGTGCCAGCGGTCATTCGACACTTCACGTGGCCTCAAAGTGCACATAGCCTGGCACAAGCGTCGTGGTGATGTCACTGCCACTTCGTGGAAAATGGCGGTTGGTTGGTTGGTGCGGAATTGTAGCGGTTAGAGTAATGCGCTACGAATTCGTCGACCACTACCGTCACCACCACCACCTCAACTTCCATCACCACCACCAACTGCCCCCACCACCACTGTCACCACCGTCGCCGCCCCCACCACCCCCACCACTACCACCGTCACCACCATCACCACCACCACTACCACCACCATCACCACCTCCCCAAACTGTGCACCCCAACTCGAACCAAATCACTCATGCGTCACGAGCGGAATTCCATCTCGCCTTGGTGATGGTGGAGACAGTGGTGGTGGAGGTGGTGGTGGTGGGGGTAGTGGTGGTCGTGGTGGGGGTGTTGACGGTGGTGGAGGCGGTGGTGGTTGCGTTGGTGGTGGTGGCGGTAAGCGATACACTTCGTTACGCTGCGCTATGAACCCGGTGACCCGAGTTGGATTCCCGCTCACGGTCAACACCAGTGACGATTATCTAAACCGGTCCTGGGCCTCTCCTCGGTCGACTCAGCCTCACATTATTACCTGGTGCGGTGTGTAAACATCGCCACTAGGGAGACAAATGCGGCCAGGATGTGTTGCTGGCTACCCACCTCAATGTCGTGTCCCATGAAGGCCTTCAAAAGTACCGCTTGTTAGCAGTACTTGCCCCAACAGTCTGTTAAGACTATAATGGGGATCTTTGCCTTTTTTGTGTCTTTGTGTGTGCGTCTGTTTGCATGTTTCTGTGTGTGTCTCTGTATGTGTCTCTGTATGTATCTCTGTGTGTCTCTGTGTGTCTGTGGGTCTCTGTGTGCCTGCGCGTCTCTGTGTGCTTGTGCATCTCTGTGTGCCTGTGTATCTCTGTGTGTGCATCTCTGTGCGTGTGTGTGTGTGTCTCTGTGCATGTGTATGTCTCTGTGTGGCCTGGTCTCAGCTAGCGGAGGATAGTTGCAAGCAGGAATTTTAACATAGCTTGCAGCTGGGGTTGACATCGTCCCCCCTTCCTTCTGATGCTGAGGGGAAATAGGAGAGGTTCAGGACAGTGACTCATGCACTGCAACGGCTGCATTGGGTATGCGGTCTAAACCTCCCCTGAGACCCTGGCTGTTGAAGGAGGAGGTGTTCCGGCTGGTTGAGAGAAAACGACAGGCGCACTCCCATTGTCTAAAACATCCAACATCGGAGAATGAGGAGGCTTACCGCAGCCTTCACTCAGAGGTTCGGAGATCGGTGCGGGGCTGCAAGGATGAGTGGTGGGCGCTGGTTGCTGAGGAGATGCAATCTGCCACAGTAGCCCGCAATCACAAATCACTATTTAATTCCATCAAAAGAGTAACTTGCAGCGCCTCACCTATCACCATCTTTAAGGGAAAGAACAGTAATCTGATCTCCGACCCCCAGGAACAGGTTTGCAGAGGATTTTTGTGAGGTCTTGGGGGAGGGGAATTCCCTCAGCCCAGACAACATCATGGTGCAAGGTGGGGACGACCCTGCTAAGCCTGTCGTGCCTCAAATATTGGCAGAAGTAGCCACCCCCCTTCTGAGTGGTTGGTTGAGGTGCCATCTGTGGAGGAAGTGCGAGGGGCGATCCGAAGTATGAAACCACGAAAAGCACCAGGCAGAGACGATCTCCCGAGCGAAATGCTGATGGAGGGTGGCATCTGTGCGCAGACTGCCCTACATGACATCATCACAACTGTCTGTACCACTGGACGGGTTCCATATGATTGGAAGGATGCCCTAGTGGTCCCAGTGTGCCGGGAAAGGTCCTGGAACGAATTATTCAACTTCGCCTTGCCAAGCACGCTGAGGAGAGATTTATGGAGCCCCAATGTAGTTCCAGACCAGTGTGGTTCTGCACAGATGCCATATTCTATGTCCGTCTGCGACAGCAGAGGTGTAGAGAATTCCAACAAGACCTTCATTTCTGCTTTATTGACCGGCTCAGGGCCTATGATACCATCAGTAGGCCTGGGCTCTGGGTTGTTCTTCGTGCTTTCGGAGTCCTTGACTCTCTTCTCACAATCATTAAGGACCTTCATGATGGTGAGCAGGCCCCGGTAAAACTACGTGGCCGGGAGACGAAGCCATTCCCTGTTCACCTTAGGGTGCGACGGGGATGTCCTCTGGCTCCCACATTATTTAATCTTTGATGGCTGTACCGGAGGACTTTCCATCTCGTACAGATACAATTGGAGGCTGATTGATGCCCAGGTGCGGTCGAGGGATGGCTCCCTATTGGTCATCCATGTTACGTATGCTGATGATCTGATGATTGCTGCACACTCTTAGGAGGAGGTGGAGGTGCTGCTGTTGAACTTGGAGCATGCCACTAAGAGGTGGGGCCTTACCATCAGCCCCACCAAAATTAAGCACCTGCCTGGATATGTTGTGCCATCAAAAACTCCATCCCCTCTCCTCCCCATTGGTGATGGAGCATTTGTGGAGACAGTGGAGAGGTTTCCATACCTGGGCAGTGTTCTTCTGACCAGCTCCGGTTTGTCAGCAAAGGTCTCACTCAGAATCAGTCCAGCGGCACTATCTTTTCATCAGCTGCGCAATAATGTGTCACTCCACACGAAGCTTCAGGTCTTCTCAGCCACAGTCATGCCCTCCCTTCTCTACGATTGCGAAACGCGGGCCCCCCGAATGGAACATCTGAGCCGGTTAGAAACATTCAGGCCGGCATGCCTACGATCCATCCTGGGTTTAACTAGGCTGGATTGTGTGAGGAACTCACAAATCCTCGAAAGATCTGGATACATTCCCATCCGCGAGCTCCTCCAGCAGGCAAGGCTGCATTGTATGGGTCATGTATCCTGCATGCCCAGCTACAGCATGCCCAAGCAGCTTCTGTTTGGCCGCATAAAAGGGACTAATCGGGGATGACATGGGCAGAAGAAGCGATGGAGTTATGCGGTACGAGAGGATGTGGAGCTGAGTGGACCTGCCAATAACTGACCCCAGTGGTTTCAAGATCGGCCTCTATGGAGGAGGCTCGTGAAGGACGCTACTGGGCAGTTGGCGGCAGTCGCCCTCCAGCAAGAACGGAGGGCAGAGGAGCGACTTTCACAACAATGAGCGGAGAGCCGGGCGGCTAAAACGCAGCAAGTTGGCACAGTGGGGGGTACAGCTGGTGGTGGTGCATCTACCGGTCACCTCAATCGGCCAACCCATGGCACCTGCTGGATCTGTGCTCAGACCTCCTGTCAGCAGCGAGCCTTTGACACTTCACGTGGCCTCAAAATGAACCTGGCCTGGCACAGGCGCTATGGTGATGTCAACGCCACTTAGTGGCGAATGGCAGTTGTTGTTGTTGTGTGTCTGTGTGTGTCTGTGTGTGTGCATCTGTGTGTCTCCGTACCCTTAGCCGTGCCGCCCGCCTCCAGCAGTGCGAAGGGGCGGTGCTTCTGGATTGGGTGGACAAACAACTCCACGTCACGGTCCATCTTGAACCCTTCCCCCAGAGATACCTGGGCACACAGTAGGGGTGGTGGTGGAGCAGGAGTGGGGAGGGGACTGGAGGTAGGGTGAGGGAGGGAGGGTGGGAGGGAGGCAGTGGAGGGAGGGAGTGGAGGGGTGGTAGAGGAGGGAGGGAGGCCATAACCGCTCATGGCCACAATATAGTTCAACCAAAAAACGCAACCCCGGTGCAATCCGCGCGCAACCCCGGCGCAATCCAGAAGTGTCTGATGCAATCCGGCAGAACCCGGCGCAATCCAGAGCTACGTGGCGCAACCCACAGACTCATATAGAGCCATAAAGACCCACAGAGACCCAGATATTTATATAGAACCATAGAGACCCAGAGTCTCATATAGAACCATAGAGACCCACAGAGACCCAGATATTCATATAGAAGCAGAGACTCATATAGAACCATAGTGACCCACAAAACACCCATACTCATAGAGATCCATACTAAAACTAAACTATTTTCAGAAGTGACCTGGCAATCACAAATGATAGCCCAACCAAGTGGCTTACCATCATCATCACGTGGAAATGTATAGCAGTAGCCAAATACTCTTAAACGCGTAGAGACTTTGATTCTAAATGTGGAGGGGAAAAACTGGAGCATCCGCAAACTCCAAATATACAACAGGTTTCAGAATCAGGAATGAACCGACGACCTCCTGCATACTAGGCGGGGAAGATAACATCACGCCAAGGGGAGAGGCAGAGAAAGACACGCTCCGGAATCGGAACCCACGACCTCCTGTTTACCAGGTGAGGTAGTTAAAATCTCACCACGTGGAGAAAGAGAGACGCAAACTCATCAGGGTCAAGAATGGACCCCCCAAATTCCTGCGTAACAGGCGAGATAGTTAACATCTCGTCAGGGTCGGGATCAGAACCCACGACCTCACGCATACCAAGAGAGGTAGTTCACATCTTGTCAGGGTCGGGTTCGGAACCCACGACCTCCTGCGTAGCAGGCGAGGTAGTTAACATCTCGTCAGGGTCAAGATCAGAACCCATGACCTCCTGCATACCAGGCAAAGTAGTTAACATCTTTTCAGGATTGGGATCGGAACCCACGACCTCCTGCGTAGCAGGCGAGGTAGTTAACATTTCCTCCTAGCCGGCACGTAGCCACCCTTGCCTGAGCCACGGAGTTGCCAGTGCCCGAGAAGGAAACCGGCCCAAGGTCGCAGGCCGAGGTGACGGCAGCTATGCCTCCCGGAGCCTCGGCGCGGAGACAGAAAGCCATTGAGTAGGGCAGCGGCTGGGAGCAGCTCACAAACGGCACGAAGGGCAGCACGGAGTCTGCTGGTGATGAGCCTGGCGGTGGGAGGGAGGGGATGGGAAGGGAGGGAGCAGAGAGAGGGAGCAGAGAGAGGGAGGGAAGGAAGCGTGTGTTCGTGTTCATCAATGTAACGTTCACAATGGCCGTGTCGGAGACTGAGCCAGTGAGGCTTGATGAGGCCGATCTGAGAGCCGCAGATTCCGCTGAAGTTTTGAGCAACGGGTTACGTGATGGTGGTTGGTGGTGGACGATGATGGCTGGGGCCTTCTTGGTGGGGGCGCCACGGTGGCTAGGAGATGTTAACTCCCTCGGCTAGTATACAGGAGGTCGTGGGGTCGATCCCAACCCTGACGCCTGCTGTTGTATATTTGGAGTTTCCGTTTCTTTCTCTCATCATTATCAAGGTGGCTAGGAGATGTTAACTCTCTCGCCTGGTATACAGGAGGTCGTGGGTTCGATCCCGACCCTGACGCCTGCTGCTGTATATTTGGAGTTGGCATGTCTCTCTCTCTCACCATCATCACGATGGCTAGGAAATGTTAATTCCTTGCCTGGTGCAGGAGTTTGTGGGTTCGATACCAGTCTTGACACCTGCTGTATATTTGGAGTTTGCGGTGTCTCTCTCCCCGTGGTCACATAGACTTTTCTCCGGTTCCCCCGTGTCGGAGACTGAGCCAGCAAGTTCAAATTGGCCACATTGTTCTCACCGCGATATCGCTGCATTACAACCGCTGTGTTGTAGTCATCTCGTCACCTCACCTGGCGGCGTGTAGCGAGGGTTGAGCACCGTGGGCAGGCAGAATCTCACCGCTCCATCCGGCTCCACCGCCAACTCGCTCACAAACTCCACCTGCAGCTCCGCCCCCTCGCCCGCCCCCAGGTTGCCCAGCATGCACTGGAACACGTCGCCCCGGTCCTCAGAGAGCAGGAAGGCCGTGTGGCCGGAGCTCATCGCATCGTCGTACTCCTCCTTGGCCTGGGGACACGATGCACCCCGTAGGAGACACGGTGCCATTCAATCATCCACTCACACATCCACCCATTCACTTATTCAACCATGCACCCACCCACTCAATAGCCCACTCACCCACGCACTCACTATCTCATTGACTAGCACACACACTATCTCGGCCTCGCTGAGCGCTGCATTGCACCGCTAGTCGAGTAGATAACCTTGCATTCAATAAACCCTCGAAGCCAGGATGAACGTCCAACTCCAATCGTCATTTATTGATTGTAACAAGGTAAAACTGGTGAGAAAACACAGATACAGCATCTGTTATAATCCGGAAACACCAACACAATGAACACCACAGCATCAGAACATTGTCTTAGATAACAATAGATCCTGGACGGACCAGGCCCCTACATTACCACTGAACAGCTAGACAAGAGCACAAGCCGGTGCGTTGCATACAGGCACATCGTGTATTCATCCCACTGCACCCCAAATGTACAGCATTACACATAACACTAAACTGTGGATGAGATACTTCGTCATCTTTACTCTCAGGATCGCAACATAGCCACCTGGGCACAAGTCTGACTCGACCTACTAAATCACAAGCAACATCCACAATAAGGAAAGTCGCAGGCTTCGTTACTAACTAGGCCTCGTATTTACTACAACAACTTAACGGCACCATAAAGGCATTTACATCACTATAACGGTCATTCCAACATTACAACAGCATTGCCAATATTATAGGAATATAAACAAACTTACAGACAATGCTTCTTAAGCTCCCACAATGGACAAGTGCGGCTGTGGTCTCACTGAGATGCGTGCCGCCATCTTGAATTATGAGTAAGATGGCCGATACCCGCGTGGTTCACTGAAAATCTAACATCGTGACTTCCTGGTCATGTGACCAAAATTAGCATAAAAAAACAGGAACTTCCTGTGAACGTACGCTCCACATCTGCCGTGAGGCAAGACACACACCAACCCACTCACTCACAAACTCACCCACTCTCTCACCCACTCACCCATTTACCCACATACCCTCACACCAAAGACAAACATCCCCTGTATAGCCTGAACAGACTGTTAGGGCAAGTGCTGTTAGCGAGTCCGACATGGCACACGAGGGGGTGGGTGGCCAACACCACGCCTGGCCTCCTTTGTCTCCCCAGTGGCGATATTTACACCACCGCACCAGCTACTCATTTAAGGTTGAGTCTACCTAGGGGAGGCTCAGGACCCGTTCCGATAATAACTATCACTGGTGTTGGTGGCCATGAGTGGGAATTGAACTCGGACCGCCAGGGTTTGTAGCGCAGCATGCCAATCGTTGCACTACCACTGCCCAGTCATGTCCACTTCGTCTATAGCCCCGCCCACTTTAATTGTTTATGTGACAGATGCTATATTGGACAGACTGGGCGTAACATCAGCGTAAGACTAAAAGAACACCAAAGAAACATTAAATTATCTCAAACACAACTGTCGGCAGTGGCAGAACATGCTTGCCAACAAGGACGCTCAATTGATTTTGATAACGCTGAAGTGTTGTGTAAAACTAATTATTACTGGCAAAGACTTATTAGAGAATCCATTGCAATTGAGAGAAATAGAAATAACTTTAATCGGTCTGACAGCTATACAGGCCTAGTGCAGCCTGGAATCGTATTATTAAATAATTACAATTCCTTATAGGGGAAACAAATACTAATTAACTGATTACTACCGTAGCATATAATTACAATAACACACATTACAACTAATTACTAATCTACAACTCATTACTAATCGTAAAAATTGACTGATTACCAATCTATTATATAATTACAATACCCCCCTTTCGCCTCAAATCATTGCACCTGATGAGTTCAATGATGACGTCACCCTGCTGCTGCTCTATTTAAGACCGGGAGAGAGAGGGGAGCCCCATCATTCTGGCGAATTGCCCGATGATGCTGGATGTAATTACCAGCGAAACGTCGTACTCAAAAACACACCGGTGGGCTAAAGTAGTGAACTATTTGTCCTTTTTCAACGTGACACTTTTTTTGCTGATTGGCCGTGTCGGGTGGTGGAGGGTTACGACACATTTATAAATAATGCGATCTAACCCAAAACGTTTATTATGAATAGCATTGGTCGCGAAAGCCTATGCGTTAAACTGACTCATACACTCACCCACCCATCCACCCACCCATCCACTCACCCATCCACCCACCCACTCACACACCCACTCACACACCCACTCACACACCCACTCATTCACTCACCCACCCACCCACCAACTCTCACCCACCCACCCACTCTCACCTACCCACCCACTCATCCACCCAGCCACTCAAACACTCACCCACTCACTCCTTCACCCACCCCCTCACCCCCCTACTCACCCACCCATCCACCCACTCACCCACTCACCCACTCACTCACCCATCCACTCACCCACTCAAACACCCACTCACCCTTTCACCTACCCACTCACCCACTCATACACCCATCCACTCACCCACTCATCCACCCATCCATCCATCCACCCATCCATCCACCCACCCATCCACCTACTCACCCACTCAATCACCCACTCACCCACCCACTCACTCACTCCCCCACCAACCCACCCACCTTCTCCTTCTCCTTGATGACGGCATCGATGTGGCGCCCGTTGAGGCTGGCGCTAAACGCGTGCACCGCCGAGTCGTCGTCCAGCGGGAAAAGGAAGGAGGCCTCCACGGGGAAGGCCTCGGCGTTGAGGTAGCTGAGCGTGGCGCGCACGGAGGCCACGAAGCCCTGCACGCTCACCTCCACCGACACGGCCTTCAGCGGCACAGCTGGTGAGGAGAGGTCAGGTGAAGTCACGTTAGGTCAGGTGAGTTGGTGAGGTAGTGAGGTGAGGTCGGGTGAGGCGAGGAGTGGTCAGGTGAGGTAAGGTTAGTTGGTGAGGTGAGGTCGGGTGAGATGAAGTGAGGTCGTGTGAGGAGAGGTCAGGTAAGTAGGAGAGGTCAGATGAGTTGGTGAGGTGAGGTCAGTTGAAGTGAGGTGAAGTGAGGTCAGGTGAGGCGAGGCGAATCTCGCATTATCATGAACGTGTTTTTTTGTTTTCAAAATGACACCCACTTAGTCACTTGCCCCAGCCACTACGACATAGCCATGCCCACTCAGCCACTAGCCCCACCAACCTCTCCAGACAGACATACATATTCTTTGGTTCTTTCGGTAAAGTCACGTAAATAGAAAAATAAAAATAAAGTTAATAGAATTAATAAAAAATGAAATAAAAATGAAACAAAAACCACGACGTTTCGATCACAACACAAGCGATCGTCTTTCCTCCTGAAGACGATCACTTGTGTTGTGATCGAAACGTCGTGGTTTTTTTTTAATCACTATATTTGTATTATTGTTTTTCTATCTACATGACTTTACCGAAAGAACCAAAGAATATTAATTCCTGTAGTCACGTAAGTTTTATATAAAAAAAATACCGACATACAGACAACAAAAACAAAGATACCCTGTCTAACGTTAGCAGACTATTGGGGCAAGAGCTGGTAGCAAGCAGCACAACGTTCGGCCACCTTTGTGGCACCAGGTAGTCATTTGAGTCATTTGAGGCTGAGTCAACCTAGGCGAGGCTCAGGACCGGTTCAGATAGTGCCACACGTACAAACGCACACACAACACCTGCAATTCGCCACTAAGTGACGGTGACGTCACAACGGCACCTGTGCCAGTCTAGGTGCACTTTGAGGCCACATTAAGTGTCCAAGGGTCGCTGCTGGCAGGAGGTCACGGTACAGACCCAGAAGGTGCCATGGGTTGACCGACTGAGATGACTGGCAGATGCACCAGCAATGTCCACTCTTGTGCCAACTCGCTGCATTTTATCTACCTCTCGCTCCGCTCATTGTTGTGAACGTCACTCCTATGCCCTCCGCTGTTGTTGGAGGGCGACTGCCTCCAACTGACCAGTAGCAGCGTCCTTCATGAGCCTCCTCTATAGAGCACATGTACATACACACATACACGTGTACACCACACGCACTCATCCTGAGTACACACACACACTCACCTTTCTTTTGATACTTATGAACGAAGATGAGTCCACAATTCATGATTGCAGATGGCGATCCCTGTGTGTGAGAGGGGGGGGGGGGGTGGACAGCAATTAGGAAACTCAGTGGTACACTGAAGAAATAAGTAATATTTAAAGCAACTTTTTTTTAAACACGCTTTAATGAAATGTACTAGTAATGGAAGAACTCCATAACTCCAGGAAGTGGCCCTGAAGCTTTCCATAACGTAAGGGACCGTGGCCAATTACAGCCAACGTCAGTTGATCGTGAACAATTAGACCCAAGCCGAAACATAACGTATAAAAAAGAATGTATAAAAATATATTGTTTTTGTTTTTATGATAGAATATAGTATTGTCATCAGTATGACAAGTATACTAAGCTTGCAGTCGATACCACATTGGGAAATGGGTTAAAATTGAGTTACAAGATTGGAGAATACAACAGCGACAACAACAACGATGACAACAACAATAGATAAAGTGAGTTAAATGAAAGCGTGTAAAAAGTAAACTGTGTTTACTCTACGAGGTGTAAGGCGACACTGAGCTCAAGCCAAATGACTCACGCGACATGAGCAGAATTCCACCTCGCCCTGGTGATGGTGGGGGAGGTGGTGGTGGGGGTGGTTGTGGTGGGGGTGGTGGTGACTATGGTGCAGGTGCCGGCGGTGGTGGTAGAGGGGGTGGTGGGGTTGGGGGTGGAGGCAGTGGTGGTGGTGGAGGTGGTGGTGGAGGTGGTGGTGGTGCTGAAGGTGGTGGTGCAAGGTGCCGGCGGTGGTGGTGGCGGTCAGCGCTACGCTGCACTACGAATCCGGCAACCCGAGTGCGATTCTCACTCACGGCCAACACCACCCTGAGCTACCTGCCCGAGATCGACTCAGCCTCAAATGAGTCCCTGGTGCAGTTGTGTAGCAGTAAAACATAAAATACACCACATTATACTATGCTACTATACACTACACTACTTTCCACTACAATATACACTACACTATACACTACACTACTATACACTACACTACTATACACTACAATATACACTACACTATACACTACACTATACAATACACTACTATACACTACACTACTTTCCACTATACACTACACTTTACACTACACTACTATACACTACACTACCATACACTACACTACTATACACTACACTACTATACACTACACTACTATACACTACCATATCACATATTTAGAGGTGAAGGCAGCTGGGCGGGCGTGGTGCCTGCCACCCACCCCCTCTGTGCGTGCCAGTGCCGGTCGCCTTCATAGGCGCTACTGGGGCTGCCCGCTACTACTAACAAACAGCACTTGCCCCAGCAGTCTGTTCCAGGCTACACGTGGGACCTTTGTCTTTGGTTGAGGTGTTAGTGGTGGTGGTATGCAAAGTTTGTGCTGTGGGCATTCGCCTGATAACAAGTTTCGGGAAAAAAATGTTAACCAGAGACAGCTTTGTGAAAGAAAGTACGAACACTACCCACAGACTAGCACCGCACCCATAGACTATCACCGCACCCGTAGACTAATACTACCTATAGACTCTAATAGAAAGCTGTCTCTGGTGTGGACCAATTGTGATGCCGCCGCCACGAAGCCGTTCGGCAGGCACCAAATCCCCGACCTCGCCACCACCAAGCAACGGAGCCGACCCCGCGTCCCCCTCACCTCACCTCACATGAACACACCCGCACTCATTTCCCCCCCCCCCCCCCCCATAGAGCTCCGAGGGGAGGTCGCCTGGCCGACCGGTTTTTATCCGAGAGACCCTTATCGGGATTAATTCTCACGGTTTCCGGCGATCAGGGAATTGGATGACCTCCCCCGTGCTACGTGGCACCGCGGCGCTGCGGCCGGCCTTAATATGGTGTGGTCGCGGCGTGGGGCATTCGGCCACCGCGGTTGAGGCGCATTTCCCCCCACACACACCCCCACGAGTCGACGGGGCAAGCAGGGGAGGCACGGGACAGCATGAATAGCAGGATCACAGGGGCTGTTGCGCATAGTCATGGAGGGTTGGGATAATTGCGCTTGAGCGCGCAGGCCCCATTGTTAGGGAGGGTAAGGGGTTAATTAGGATGTACGCCGCCAACGTCGCTCACTGATTAGCATATCAACAGCGCCCGGAACCGCCGTGCGCGGGCTCGGGGTGCGTGAGCCCATTGTTCAGCGCAGCATCCCCTTTGAGGTAGGGAGGATAAATAGAGGGGCGCAGAGGGGAAATCGGGCTTTTCTCTCCAGCGCCAGGCGACAGGACGCTCTCCAGTCCAGCGACCCGATCGTCCGTGAGACGCATCGAGGTACGCTGCGAGCACGGGATCAACGAACCGCCGTGGGCATCCAGCAGGGAGTAAGTAGGTGAATTAGAATCATAGCAGATAAATCGGGAATAGGTATAAAGGTATCAGCGTAGGCCAGCCTCGTCGACTCACTGATTTAACATAAATTACCAGGTATCAGATAATAAATCATTAATAGCGAAGCGTGGTCTCGCGTGATATTGTCGTGCAGTGTGAGCGTGTGGGTGCGCGTGTGTACACTGTGGTTCACCACGTGAGTGAGCGCTTCGTAGAGCGGCGCACGAGTGGGTGTCGCGTGTGTGCAGGTGTGTGCGCTCGTAGTGTGGGTGAAGGGGTCGGTGCGTCCGCAGGTCCCCGCTCCGTCTGTCGCCGCCGGGACTCGCGCAGTGTGAGGGCAGCGTCGTTCGCCCTCCGACCCCCGTTTAATAGCGCGTGATCCGTGGAGAGACAACGCAGCGTCTGCAGGTGAACGAGGGCGTGCGGCGAGCTATGCCTCTCACACGAGCTCGCGGAGGGACGGACCAGGGAGGGGAGCCGTCGGGCGATGAGCCCAGCGACGGCAGCAGCTGCTCGCAGAGCAGCGAGGGGTCGGCGCACGGCGGAACCCCTGCCATAGGCACGGAGCAGGGAGGGACTTCGGGGACCAGCGGCCCCAACACAATCAGTTTCAAAGATAATGCATATATTATCAGAGTAAGTTTTTGTTTGCATTCTGACCACAACTATTGTGGTTAATGCAGATATGATTCCTTGTAAAAAGTTTCAGTTTGGTTTTTTTCACATCTTAACACGTGTTTTGTTGCCAGAAAAAAGGGGAAAAGCTATTCTCATATTTTGCAACTGGCAAAGATGTGGGGTAGTCTCTTTTGTTATCCTAAATATGTATTAGCAGCCTATGAAAGAGTGAGGCCGCTGATGGTGGTGTTGATGGTGGTGATCGTGGTGTTGATGGTGGTGATGGTGATTATTTTGGTGATGATGATGGTGGTCACGGTTATGATGACGATGCTTATGGTGATGCTAAAAAAAAACACATGCACACCAAATAGACACACCCGTTTACAACAAGCAATCGAGTCTGAAATAGCCGCACAAACACTCCCCAATGACACTGCATCCACAGAATAAAGACCGCACCCATAAACGAACAGTACCCATAGACCAACACCGCACCCATAGACTATCACCACCCCCATAAACTAACATAGCCGATAGACTAGTTCAATTTCAAGTTCATTTATTAGGTATAGCCCTGTGAGCCATTCGGCTCTTGAATCGGGTGCAACCGCAACAAACAAAAAACAAAAACATGAACAAAAAACATCTTAAAGTGAATATGTGACTAAGTGCAAACAGAAAATCCAAGAAAATACAGCAAAATATTGCAGAAAAAAACACCGTACACCAACGATGTGTGCAAAAATCCCAGTGGGATGCAAGTCAAACA